TGATAAACATTGCACTTAAGTGTGTTTTAGATGCTAATACCCTAATCTCATAGGAGAAACTGGAATTTAAATAGGTTTGAGGATGCAAAAAGAAATTTTCTTTCATTTATGGCTACAGATTTTCTGTCTGGAACAAATTCAGTTTGTTAAAGATGGTTCAGCTGGTGTCACCTAGTATCTCAGCCATGGACAATTTAGAAAAAATCAAGAGACTTGAGATGAAATTTAAATTTGCAGTGTGGACTCTGAGTCAAAATTGGAAGGCAAGTTGTTTAATTACAACTCGTGGCTGGAGGAAATATGATTGATGATAGATTTTCAAAACGAAGTAAAAAATCGAGCACATTCTCAATGGTTGGATCACTTAGCCATTTCCCTGTTGTCGTGGCATGTGCGACGCAGATTCTTAATTCAAGAATAAAAAAATCTTAAATTTTTTGGTTTTTTGTAATTTACTAAATATCCTGGCTTTATGGGAAAATAAGGAACAGAAAAGGGTGTGTAATTACCGTTAACAAAATCGCTACTTAGTTTTGATCGACAAGATAGACGAAAAGTGATTTTAACTTGACCATAATGTCTTATAACTAAACCAATCTAACCATATCGGATGGGGAATAAATCAGTCGTTGAAATTTAACTTATAGCCAACTGTTAGACTTTCCATATTCTAATTTACCGCCTCGATGATTCCTTCATTAACAATTCAAATAAAGCGATGTCCTATTTTTCCCTTATGCTTCCAGTGGTTCGTGGATCATCAGTGAAATAAATGTCAACCTGATTTAAAGTTCACATTCAAAATACATTGAGACAATAAGATACGATTAATTCCTACCCAAACGCAATATAAACAAGAGTTCTATCACATCTTAGAATAAGTAGACTTATTCCAATTCTTGAAACTGTAACGTTTATGACGCTTGTTTAACTTCTGTTTTACCACGTTAGGTTTGATGGAGAATCAAAGCAGTGAGATATCGAAATATCCTTTGCAAACGTCCCTTCCGACAACATCACATTCCAAACAACGCCTTCACAAGAAGAAAACATCTTAGTTCTTAGCGCACCTGATAAGGTTACATTAGCATCGTCATTCAATGTCAGTTTAGAGAGGTATAAGATACCACGTGCGCGTAAGTTGGTACGTCAAAGCCTTTTCGATTTGCAAACCCAACAATTAAAACAACTCGTCAATATTGCGTGGACTGGACGAACTGATGGAAATCTGGAGGTATCCTCCGAGCTATTAATTAGTCAGAAATATTTCTGAGCCCAAGTCAGGAATCAAGGCTACAGTTCGATCGGCATCGAGACCTGCACGTATTTAGATGAAAGTGACAAAAAAGGTCAAGAGCTTAATATCTTTCGGAACCATAATGGGCTTCAATAAATAGGCGACCAGTATTAATATAATAATCTCATGTCGCGTCCAGCATATTAATATCTATGATAGTCACGGCATGGAATTGTGGTACTTATTTCCTTCTGAAAAGTTGGGTCTTGGTCTGGGTATTCACAGAACTTTCGATCGTCTTGTTTTGTACTGGTCAGCTTCCTTTATGGTAAATGTAGCGTGCTTTACGCGAGGCCCATTTAAGGCCGGATTTTAACCAACTGATTGACATTTCACTTCCGAATTGTCTTGCCCATAAAAAAATTGAAGAGGTCAATTTCAGGTGACGTTGACTGACTAAGATCGGACGACAATGCTTTCTTTATTTGTTACCTTACAACAATTAGGTCATTTCTAGTGGGATTTCGAGACAGAAACCTCTTTGGGTTGATGTTGTTGATTAATGTTTTAAACTTATATCAAACTACGTTAAAACATTAGTTAAATCATTGGCAGCGAGTTCTTTCATTTTCGTGAGCTTTTCACAGTAGGGTACACACATTCTCGAAAAGCTGGTGTCCATTTACTCTCTAAAAATAACGCAGCGAATCAATCTAGTTTGTCATCAGATCCTTGATATGTCAACGCGGGAGATTCTAGTGATGGCTATTCATAGGAGTTACCGCGTTTCAACCGAAAACAGCTAGTAAAGTGTTTGTTAGAAAACATTAACCGCGTAGACCAAAGCTGGTTCCGATTGAGAAGGCTGATCCCAAAAGAAAATAGCCTCACTTGTAATCAAAGCGTACGCCAGACAGCCACCCGTAAGCTACGTTTGACCCTTCTAAACTTTTTTAGGGTCTCATATCCCCGGTGAGATATATTTGGCGAGCTTTAAACAGCACAGGCATTACAGTTACTTTAATATAAAAAGAGACTGCTTCCAATCTTTATGATCATTATTTTCCGCCTAGATCTCTAAACTGCTACATCTCAAATTGGGTAATAGAGTGCGAAAATATTAAGACAAAATATCTTGGACACTGGTAAGATATTTAAAGGTCAAACCATCAAATAATTACAGTAGTCTAGTACACAGACCTCCCCTTGCTTCTGATACATGGGTTCGAGATTACCTTACGACACAACAATTATAATCTGAGCTACTTTTCTCTGCGCACTAAGATGAGTGGTGAATATTAGCGGACACTACTTCTTCCTAGAATAGTAAAGTTCATTTTCGAAGTATAATTTATCAAAAAGGGAGGAAATTATTCTGTTTGTATCAGCGGAGAATCCATCATTCTATACGAGTTTCAAAATGATTTACATAGATCATAGGAATTCTCCACAAGAAATCGAGAGCGAACGACTCAAGTTTTATAAGACTCCATATGAGATGGTATGTTGAAGCTCACTGAATTCGATGAAGCGAAGTAAGACAAATAATAAATATTTCTTTATCATATGACCTGAAACTACAATCGTTCAATGTTCAATTAAAAGGCAGTAGAGCTAGTCAAGAAAAAATAATGGCTAATTAAATAGCTTTTCTGTTGCTTACTAGGCAATGTAGATAACTGTAGCCATAAATTTCTCTTTACTGACAGGTTTTCCCTTTTATGGTGGTTAGTCAACGTTTTCCACACCAGCTTGAACGTAAATCGCTAGAGGATTTTAAGAAAGGACTGTTAATTCTCTTTCCTATTGGTTTGATAGGCGCTTTTAAAACATTTTTTTAAATAACGAGCCGGTTAAAATCTAAGATTTACCTAAGGCCACAAAATTGTAGTAGAAAACAAGAGAGGCGAGTTGGTTGATTCATTTTCAGCTCATTCTCAAAGTGAGCGCTGCACCACTCAATATCGCTAACGCCTTATGTTAAGTCCCCAACGCTGTGATAATTCCGGGGGGTTACATCTGGAAATTGCTGTTGACGCAAGTTTTTCATGGAAAAAGCTTCTTTGTCGTCTTTTTTGTCATCAATGAAAGACTTGTAACGTGTACTTCGACCAACTCCATCTTCGTGGTTTGGAATAACTTGGCGAAAATCCGAGAGATACTGAGAGGAACGTGGAGATTCTGTAAATATGCCATCGCCCACACTAGCTGAAACTTTCCCGTTACCAAACCAGCTTTTACGCTTTTGAGGTGCAACGGTCGAAGGCATAATTACATTGCCATTCCCACTGAAATCTGAAGTTTCAGGTTCTTTGATTGTTGGCATGCCTACCCTCATAACAAGGAAATCTTCGGAACCGGAATTAGAGGAACTTGTATTACTCTCGCAGGAACGGCTGGAGGAGGCGCCAGTTTCCACATTCAAAGATGTTGTTCGAGAGTCATGGAGATCATTTATTCGACGCGTACGAGATTTCCTCTTATTTTTGCCTCCTCTTCTCGCGAGAGTCTTGTCTTCGCTTGAACCAATTCTTCCTAACGAAGGCAGAGATGCCACCAGCCTCTCTGTGACACCATCTTTCTTGGGCTTTCCTTTTCTTTGGCATTCATACAACTAGAAAAGATTAGAAGAGTAACTTGAACGTTCAAAATTAATACACAAGTATTGTGCCAGTATTTTTCTCTGACATACTTTTTTATGATAGAGAACAATAGACTTATAAAGCAATAAGGTGTCCATCCACCACCTTCACCCTCCCTCCCCCTCCCCCTCCCCCTTACTCAGAAGATTCCTGTACTCTTCATGAACGACTGAGGTAGTCTTTCAACTACCACTGAAGGACGCCGAACCGCCTTACCAACAAACGAACGAAAACGAATTAGTGAAAGAGGGAAAGATAAAACGGACAGACAATTGGATACGCAACTGTAAGACAGATGGACTGATGGAAAGGCAGACAGACAAACGGTCGGATAGAAGGGTGGATATATTGAGCAATTATTGGACGAGGTTAAGCATGAGAATTTCGATATACATTTTTAGAACAGTCTGCAAAAGAAGACACTTTGTGAGTTTGCAAAACTTTAAGACCACTACACGGAAAAGGGGCTTGGAAGCTAGGCAAACTTTGAACTCAACCCAAGATCTACTGCAGATATTGGGTTCTCATGTCAACTTCACACGCTATTGTATATTGACTGAATGCTCTCCACCTATCAGAGTTTCATAGTAAGTCTTATGTGTAATGATGAAAAATATATGGACGCTGAACAGATGGAAGGCTGCATAGAAGATGGACTGACAGTCAGATGGGCGGTCGGGTGTGGGAATAAATGGACCGAGACAAAAAAAGAAATGAATAAATTATCATTTCCAGTAGATTTTGGGATTTCTTACATTTTAAGGCTCGTTACCTGTCTTTCGATAATGGGAACTGGTAAGGCTAGAAGAAGTACCCCCATCAAAGCACAAGCTGCTCCTAGAAGCTTCCCACTGACCGTGCAGGGAACGATATCACCATAACTAAAACATAAAAAGATACATGTTCTCAGTGATTGCGGTTCGTTAAGTATGCCGCCATGAAAGAATGTGCCAAACATTGTCCTAAAAATCTGGAATTGACGAGACTGATTTCCGCAAAGGAAAATTTTAACTCCTACCTTAAATAAAAGTTTGAAACATTCCCCTGAGTTCCATTAAGTGACTTCTTTGATTTATTTTAATCATATTTCAACACTTGACTACTCGTTTATGGCGTATGATTACTCACCCTAGCGTTGTCATGGTGACCAAAGTGTACCAGAAAGCTGCCGGAATGCTTTTAAATTTTGTTCCTTTCTGTCCACTTTCAAAATAGTACATGATAGACGAAAATGTTATCATCAATGCTAGAAACGAGAAAAGAATTCCTCCAAGCTCCATTGCAGCGCCCTGTATTGAACGTAGGAGGTTTTGAAACCTTTCAGAATACCTGGCCAGCTTAGTCACTCGAAAGACTCTAAACATGCGAAAGACCGTAACAACAAACCCCAGCACTGCATTGTTAGAATTGACCGCCCTTTCAACCACCGCAATGTAGTAAGGAATTATTCCCAGCAGATCAATTATATTCGATGGATCTCTCGCAAAGTCTAGTCTGTAGGGGGCAGCATACAAGCGTGCTGTAAACTCAATTGTGAAAATTGCAACGCAAAAAGAATCCAGTCCAAAAAATATATTTCTGTGTGCCTTGCCATTCGTCTGATCTGACTCGGCGGGCACTGTTTCCGCTACGATAGCAGAGATGTTCAGAAGCACTACTGCTCCAAAGAGAAACCCGAATGCCTTTGATTTTTTCGAACTCTTGCTATTGGTCAAGAGCTGCCACAATTTCTCACGGGCTGTCCACGAGTTGCGGTCTTTTTGAGGGAGTTTACTTTCCATGGTTTCTATTTGTTTCTTCTTTTCTTGTTCCTCGTCTTCTTGAATAATGTGCTCACAGCAACAATCGAACACGGAATGTTGTGGGATTCCAAAGTACTTCAACTCATCCAACACAGCTTCCATACAGCACACAGTTGGTGCAGGCGAGTGAAAACTTCCATGTCGATAGAAGTCGGCTATGTTCTTGAAAATAACTGGATCGCGGTCGAAAAAGTATTCCTTCCTCTCCGCATCATAGAAAAAATTTTTCCTCTCGCTGCCAAGAAGCGTGTCGGGAAACTTTTCCAAGTTTTTTTTTGCAAGTTCATATTTCGTTCCCCCTACGTTCACAGTTATTCTCTCTTCCTTTGGCGTGATTGCATTTTGCTGCAACGAAGTGCCACAAGAAGCTAGCACGCGAGCTGAATTGATCAAAATACGTTCGATTAAGGTTCCATGATGAACTGTATTTCCCTTTTCCAGTCCGCTAAGTTTTTGTCGGCTCATCTTGACTTTGCCGAGATGAATCAGTTTGTGTACTACAAGGGATCTTTGAATTCTCTTATTTTCTTGCCTGTCCATTAAATCTTTATGAAACGAAACTTGTAGAACAACGAATTGTTTTTATATAGAAGATACGTCCTCTTGAAAAAATTATGTTTTTCATCGTCGGTGTCCGCCGGGTGCCCTTTATCGGTAATCTTGGCTTCTAATGCAACCTTGTGTTTTAAAAATGTATTAACTCCTTAAACACTTTTACGAACAGTGATTGGCTCGTGTACAAGAATGTAAGAACAAAGCAATAGGTATTTCTCGTCTCTGGAAAACACGCCGAAATGCAAATAGAACGACACAAAACTAAATGATTAATATTTCTGTCTTGACACATGTTTATCGATTTTATTGATAATGACTTTAACCGCAACAGGCCTACACAAGCAACGAGGAAATGTTCAAATGCACCGTTTGCTTAAAAATGAATGGGGTGGAATGGCCAACTTATTCGAAAACTGGTCAGAAAAGATCATTAGAGCTTTCATACTCTTCAGTAATATCATTTTTAAAATTGAGCGTTTACACATTTCAATGAGAACCTTACTTTACATCCGTGAGTTCTTCATCGCCAGATTAGCTAAGTAATCTTCAAGTTCTTAAAACTTATTAATGTTACAGCTAATGAGAGTTCAACACATTTGAAATGGACTGAAAAACTAGCTGATGCTACAAATTATCCCTTACAATATTTTCAACTCTAAAAGAAACTGGAACCTTTTAGGTCAACTGAGCTCCGATCTTGACTCCTTGCATGAATATTGATGTAGCCAGCTGGTGTTCAAAAACGTATAAAATGTAAGTTTTGCTCGAGATCTTCCTCCAAAGTGGATTGTTTTAAATCAGTTTTACCACGACGATGTTTATGCTAGTTTCACTCAAATGTTCAAGTTTGGCTTCAGGCAAACATGCTGTGAAAGTTTTATTATTCAGTGAAATCTGCTGACCGCAGTGTGATGTTTTGGTTTTCCAGTTGGTGTGATGATAACGAGAGAAACATCGGCACGAATTAATTAAATCATTTAGCATTTTTGGTCATGATTTCCAGATGGTCATAATTTTAAATGAATATTGATTTAAGATGAAAATCTTACTCATATTACATACAGTAAGTTCCAAAGACAGCTAACAAAAGACGAGTTCCCGAATGTTCCCTGCCGCTGGAAATTCGAAATACTGAAGACGAAGGTAAGAGAATGTGATAAAAGAAGAGACTCGGATCTTTCATGTTCGCCTTGCCTATAGTGCAGTTATATCATTAAAATTTAACGTGCACTTCAAAAATCTTTTGCAATATGAATGAAAACTCTTTTGGCTGACACATCTCAGCCGAGCATATTGAAATTTAATTCACGATCAGTTTTTCAAATCAACTAAAATATTTATACTTGTAGATTCATAGCAAAACTTGATTGTTTCTTTTTTCACTAAAAGAGAGGTTTACGTAAGGAGTTGTGTATAATTTATAAACTATTTGAAGAAAATTAACTGACGAGGATACTTAAGTGTAATGTCGAATAACAGTTGGGCAGGAGCTGTCCTTAGCATTATTAGCCACTAATTCACTTAATTCATATGTTTTATCGCGAATTAGAAGTCGACAAGAGCAGAGAACCCCAGACAATGACATGTAGGGAAGAGAAATATCAGTATGAATATTACTGTGTAACACATGGCCAATGTAATACAGCAAATTGCAAGAGTTCGTTAACATGTGTAAACATAGATTTGGAGATAGAGATGACAAGTATCTTGCGTGTCACTCTTGCAGTGCCACTAATGGGTCTCCACGGACAATAAAATGTTGTGCATTACCGGTTGGTGCTATTTCGACGAAAGGTATGCATGTTACACGAGCCTGTGCGTTTATATCTCCTTTTACCTAAGTGTAAACCCTCGTTAATCAAGGCTTGAGTTGCTTTACATTTTTTATCATACAACAAACGATTTTTCACTTTCTAAAGGGGATATTTACGCTTGTCGACTCTCTCAAGCGCAAAGGGGGCCTCTATGAATGCCAGCCTTCGAGATAAATGGGTTTTCATTGAATTTCAACTTTTACCTAACTTCCGTTTATTTCCTGTTACCATCGCAGCCTGAGATTAAGTAAAGTGTTACTGAGTGGAATTTATTGTAGCATAGATTCTGCCTTTTTGTCTTATCAGGAACAAAAAAAAATAAACCGATTTTTTACCTTTTCAAGCGATTTTCTCCAATCCTCTTTACTACTTACACTTTTCATCGGCATTCATCAAACGCACCATTTATGAGAGATGAGGGGGCGTTTGTTGCAAGCTGTTCACGTTATGTGCTATCCTTAAGTTAAACATGAAGCCTAGCCGACAGCTCTCTGCCAAAAACATTTATTTCATGTTATTAACAACTGAGCTGTGTTTTTTTATTTGTTTGTTGCAAAAGTATGCGGATATTAGAATACTGCAACTCATTTTATTCATTTTTCATATTTCTTTTTCTTTGTTTTCAAGATTTCAAAGAGTTAGGATAAAGGATTCATCGAGTCCTTTTCATCTTTCTATATTCTGGAATCAGAGAACACGATTATAACATTTCGAAAAATTTCCTGTTCCGAATTTTACAAGAGGGTCCCAATCGGGTGACGGCTTTCACGGCTGACGGTTAAAATTTTGGCTTTATGACTAACGGTTTATAACATTCCATTGCTGTCACCAGAAATTTTTTACGGTTAACTTTTCTTACGGTTAACTTTTCTTACGACTTACGTTTAAAATTTGTCAATTTTTTACGCCTAAAGGTTAAACTTTTCGGCCGTTTTACGGCTATGTGTTGAACCCATTGAGAGCCTCCGATACTAACTCTGTATCTTTGATTCAGAGTCAACTTTCATGGTCGAACCTCAAATATCACTTTTATTTTAGCAATTGCAACGAGTTATCAACGATCAATAACGAATTGTCAGCCTGTGAAAAGCTGCAGAGCGTGTGGCTTTCTCAAAACCCATTTCCAAATGTTTTCAACATTATTACCACGTGCCCTCTATTTGCAAATTTCCTGTGACTATAAATATCGCAAGGCTGTAGGAGCACTCTGAACTCTTTGTCTTTTGAACAGCGGCACACGCACCGTAAAGGACACGAGCTTTGGTTTATCAGCGCAGTATTTTAACACAAAGCGCACTTCAGACTGATCCAGTTCCCAGTTGTATATGAAAATCTCATCCAAGAGGCCACCAAAATTTTTGCCATCAGGTAGATGACCCCCTATTAAAATGCGACCCCAAGAATCGGAAAGCTTTGGTTTTCGGGGATTGCCATAAGTTCCTTTCAGCAAACCGTTCACGTAAATCTTTGCGTCACCGGATTCTGAACTGTACGTGGCAGTCACGTGACTCCAGAGCCCTTCAGGTATGGCGACATCGTCAGTTTTAACGTCAAACGCTACGTCACCGTTTGAGGTTTTGTGTCGCCAGTGAAGTTTTCCGTTTACTACCTCCAAGTTGTAAATGTCGTGCCATTCGTCGTTGTATTTGTTACTCACGGCCTGGAATATAGAATGACGTCCCTTGGTTCGGTTCAAACTGATCCAGGATGCAATCGAAATAGCCGTAGTAGGTTTGTGGTGAAAGTTTCTCCCATCCAGGTACACACTTGGCATTTTATCGTTGGATGCGTCTAAACATGCGCCGCATTTGTCACAACCACTGTTTAAGATGTGTGCTCCTGAAATTAGGATTGAAACCATAGCCACTCTTAAATCTGTATATGGGTGTTACTCTATATGATATGGCCCACTGGAATAACATCAGGGGCCTAACGAAGAGGCCAGTGCGTTCATGAAACGTTACGAGTAACTAGCCAATACTTTTGAACAGATCAGCCTCACCCACGGCCCGCTGCACATTATAAGATAATGTTCCTCCTCAAATTCAGTTTTAAAATTCTTAGATATCAATGTATGTTGCTACTTTTGAATTGTGTGCATTTGGTTGCCCCACATGCCTTATGGCAGAGTACGTGGAAATTAGATTGACACTGAAGGGTACTTTTCTGCAATAGTTCGATGATGTGTTGATCCAACAAAGTAAGGGTCGGGGAAAGTTCGTATGCTGTGTTGCAAAACAGAGGTTTTCAAATGCACCCTATTACAGTTGTACAACACTTTACCAGAGTTAAATATATAATAACAGCAAATCAGATCGTAGGAAAATATCACAAAAAGCCAATAAGAATTCAAAGTTCACCGCGCAAACTTCTTAAAGTGCATGAAAACGCGAGTGACCAATTCGGTTTTATTCTTGCATCTGATTGGTTGAAGGGTCAGCGGAAATTTCCTTGACTAATCAAAACTAAAGAAATCCCGCTGTTCTCTCGACACTCAAAACAAAATTTCTCCATCTCTTACCTCCCTCCAGAGTAGCATTGTTATCCAGACCTGACTGATCCATTACCTGGTGAGTAGACACGTTCGCTTTTTGGAATCCGTAGTGCAGGACCATTCGATTAAACTCGCACTTTTTATAGAGCATTTTAACTTCTGCTGGGGTTATAACTCGATCAAACATGAAAACATCATCTAGAAAGGAGATGAACTTATCGCCAAATTTCTGTCCTATTCCCGTGGCCGTAAAATCGTCAGGCAGACCTTTATTTTTCTTGCCGATTGTTTCAGAAATCAGTTTACCATTTACATAAACTCTTGCAACTCCATCCTTAGAGTCAAAAGTTCCTGCCAGGTGAATCCACTGATTCTTTGGAACTTTCACCATTTTCTTGGCACTGTCCTTTTCCTTACCGTCGTCGACATCAAACCATCGAACGAGACCAGGCTTTCGGGACTTAATCCACATGGCTATGGAAGCTGCTTTGGTCGGTTTCCTGGTGAAGTGGTTAGCTTTGTACATTACTTCACCGTGTTTAAGATCAGCAACACGACCACACGAGCCTGAAAATCACAAATGTGTGAACAAATGTGCTCTGACCACCGTGTTCATCACTTTTGATCACAGAAACAACTATACTATAGCCGGCTCAGTAAGAAAACGTTGCGCACCA